TTAATAGTAAAACGGATATCCGAATAAATTCAGATTTGGATATCTGATAGATAAATGGATAAACGGATAATGGATAGGAACACTATCTAATGACTTTATTTATTTATGACTATTTCTTTATTATAATCTTTAATTTTTCTGGGCATCATGAAAGATAAGTAATTTCATATATTTGCATGTGCTTTATATATAGTTAATACAGTCAGACCCCTAAATGCTACCCCTTAAGTGCACATCCTATGAAACACCTCCCTAAATTCACGCCTTCTCTTGGGCAAACTAATATTGCATCTATGGATTTTTCCTCCCTAAATGCAATACCTTTCTAAGTGCACGTTTGACTAAATTTTTATATATGGTCCCATCACATTGCATTTAGAGAGGTCTGACTGTTCCTACTAATTCTTTTTCTTAGTCTAGATTTTTCTCCTATCTCACACTATCTGATTGTTCCCAATCTCATCACATTGAAGTTTTTATTGTTACTATTTCAATTCATACTTGATTTGACTATTGAACTTCTCTTGTGGTTTTGTTTAATCATAACAATAGGTTCATATTTTCAATAGTAGATGGGTTAATGATCTTAGTTTCACAATAATTACAACATTGAATAAGTTCACGATTTCAACAACAATTGGATAGTAATTTTAACATAATCATTTTAATGGTAGTTAGTTAATAACCAATAGTGAGTAGTTTATGATTTCAATAGTCGCTGGGTTAATGATCTTAAAAGCATATAATTTAGTAATTTCATAATTTGAAATTGATTCTTTTATGTATTTTCATTAAAAATTTAAAAAATAATAATTGAATTCGAAAAATGGTTAGCAAGATATATTAACCTTCAACAAACACTAATTGAATATATTCCTGGTTTAAGTGTGACTAAGTCGCGCAGATATTCTGATGTCTATGCCACTTTGTACACAAGAGAGTTTATCAAACAGGCTGATTGGCTAACAAGGCATCCTTATTATAATTTTAATTGTCTGGGATGCTAACATTTTTCGAACATGTCCCTGACAATACTGCGTATATCCATGTGTAAATAAAACACGATTAGGACTTAATTCTACAGTACCGATATGATGTGTTATTATTCAATAAGATGGCTAAGCAGGGATGCGAATATGTCACAGGCTCGGGTTAGTGATGAAGTACGTACAAATTTGGCACTACAGATTCGAAATAACATGTGATGATCAACGCACAAAGTTCGAGATGCTAATGCAGGTGAGTATGATGTAAAATCAATTTCCGCAAACAGTAAAAATTGCTAACCCTGGCCATTATTGAGACAGAATTGATATCCACGCCCAGAGCAGCATCGTTCATCGCAGGAAGCAAGCTCTCGCCCTGACATTTTCATAATAATTGATTGATGGCCGGCCTGCATTATGCGAGCGTGAAACCACCGACTAATAGTATACAACGCAAACTCAACTGCTTACTGTGATGTCCGAAATTGATATTTCCGGGAATATATCCGTTTCCAGTTTCAATTAATCGTAAATCACAGCTACATTTACCAAATTAATAAAAATCTATTTCAGGTAAATCAGACCGGATCATTCCAAATTTAGACATACGTGCGATGCTTTTTTGTTATCTGTAAAATGAAAAAGTGTGAAGTTTGAAATGAAACCGAACGAAGCGAGGCCGAGAATCATGTAAAGTTATTATCTAATTATAAGTTAGCTGAAATGGGCGGCTTCGCCGCCCGCATATACAATTTCTAGTTCTTAAATGAAATACGGAAAAAATTTTCGACCACCGTAACATTAGGCAATTTATGTACTATTGATGGCTTAATGAATCATCACGTAAACGCGACTATACCAAAATAGCGTCGACAGATTTTAATGTGAACGTTGTGATTTTAGTGTTACTGTTATGAAAAATTAGAATTTTTTTGTTTAAAACAGTTAACAATATGATATCTTATTTAACTATGATGAAATTTGTAGATTCAATCAATCAGGTTTCATAAAGGGAACCATCCCGAAATGTTCTGAAATAGACTTGAGTAATTTTTGTATGTTGCTATATTTGGATTAAATAAGTATTGATTTTTTTTTTTGAAAATGTAAATAGTTATTGGAAAAATTTTTTTTTTGAATTTTGAGAAATTTGTGTCGGCAGATAATGATAACGAAAAATTAACTTGGTGTGACCTTAGAGATAAACTATAATAATTATTCACGCTCGAGCTATTTATTGCAGAGGTGGAAACAAAATTATACGACAGGAAATTTCTTTTATCAGAGTTAATGTCACTCGTAGCTGTGCACGGGTGTGACATTTATTCAATAAAAAACCCCCGAAAATTGTTATTTTTCATCGTTTACTAGTATTGTACACTTAATAATTACCTACTGTTGTTCGTCTTATTCTTATCCTAAAAGAGAAATTGAAATTAGTCTTGACGAATATATGACGGATTTATCGCATATCGTAGCGTAAATACATGCCACATTGATTGATGAAAAAGTAATCAGTTGAAAGGTAAAGTAATCTGTTAGACGCAATTTCTTCATTTTATCTACGGTCAATTGGATAATCAACTGTTTTCTTTTTAGATATCCGTTCCTGGTTTTGCGCGATGACGTCACGCAGCTATCTAATTATATAAATTCATAATACCAACAATTTTAAGTACTATTTAATGAATTAAGTTTTTAAATTAAAAGATAAGGCCATATCTCTATCTTTATTAAACTCAATTGAACTTACAAAAAAAAATTAAAATTTAATTTTATATTTAAGAAATACTAAACTAGAGACAAACAAAATTATCTGCAACTTAAACCTCAAATAATTTTTTAATCTGTCTCTTTTTCAACAATATTTTTTAATTCTTGGATTAATCTTTGAATTTCCTCTTCTTTAATAACTAGTTTTGAAGATTTATCTTTTAACTCAGTTTTGCCAATAATTTCTAATAATGAATTGGGAATAAATGGCTTTTCAATAGTATCATCGTCCCATTTATCATTTTGTATTTTAGTAACTATTTCATAAAGTTTATCAAGACTAAATCTATAAAATCTTTAAATACAAATTTAATTAATATT